TTCACTTAACAACCAGGTTGCTAACTGAACAACTGCAGTGATTCACTTAGCAACTGTAGCAAGGAAGGTCGTAAAAGGGGGCAAAATTCACTTAGCAAACGTCTCGATTAGCAGTAGACATTTTTGGGTTGAATTGTGGTCATTAAGTTGAAGCTTACCTATATTTCAAAGTATTGAAATATCATAGGTAAATCAAAAGGGGTGGAGACCATTTAAGGGGAGCAGGATCGGTGCCTTCTCCTATCATTTTCAGATGATTCAAAGTCGCGACCTGTTTTAAACCTGGTTAATTCTAATCACTTCATTACAGCATTGCTATCAAATAAATCTCTGGAGTGAAGAGGAACAGCTATAAGGTAAAGGTTCCCCTCACACATGTGTGCTAGTCGTTCCCGACAAGGGGATGGTGCTCATCTCCGTTTCTAGGGGGTGCTGCTCATCTCCATTTCAAAGCCGAAGAGCCAGCGCTGTCCGAAGACGTCTCCGTGGTCATGTGGCTGGCATGTCTCAACGCCAAAGGCGCATAGAACGCTGTTACCTTCCCACCAAAGGTGGTTCCTATTTTTCTACTTGCATTTTTATGTACTTTCGAACTGCTAGGTTGGCAGAATCTGGGACAAGTAATGGGAGCTCACTCCATTAGGCGGCACTAGGGATCCAAACCACCAAACTGTCGACCTTTCTGATCGACAAGCTAAGCATCTTAGCCACTGAGCCACCGCGTATAGGAAGTACCTATACTGACCCCATAAACGCAGGTCGTGAACGGGATGAACCTACCAGACGCTGTTTTCTGCGCGCTGCCTTCTGAGGCCGAAGAACTGGCATCTTGAGTTCTTGTGCTGTTTTTCTGATCGTTGGAGGAGCAAGCTCTGACTTGACTGGCGGGATGAGGGAGAGGCCTACCTGGCAGAATGGCCAGGAGTCTCCCAGGTTTAATGGGTACTTGCCAGCCTGATGGAAACATGAAAGTAGATGATCGTTTTAGAAGGTGTTCTTCTGACCTTTGGTCAATACTAAAAACCAGGTGAGAAGACATCACACGGTTATGATTATTGAAATGTTTACTAGATGGGCTTCGGAAAAGACAATAGGAAGGTTGCAGAGAACAGGTCAAAGTTGGCGAAGGGAAAAGGATATTCAAGTGAGACAAAACTTTCCCCAAATGGAACAATGGTTATCACTAAACCTGATACAGCACAAAGAAAATAGCAGTCCCGTGCACAGGAAATTTTTAAAAAGCCAAGAGGTACCAGATAACAGAGTTTTGGATCTCACATATGATTACGAAACGGTAAATGTTAGTATTGCTGAACCGTTTTAAGGCAAAGTAAAATATTTCTCGAATACGAAGTTTATTCACATCCCCCAAATTCCACTCATCAGGAACAATGACTTTATTATGCTCACTAACGGGATGCAGTAAAGTTAGCTTCTGTTTTAAATAGAATTTAAGGCTACAAAGATTTGCAAAATAATAAGTAAGACAAGATTATCCAACAACCAGACAGATGTATTTAAACAGAATGAGCCTTTTTTTTCCTTTCAAGCTACTGACACACGCAAAATGGCCTGAACCTGATATAAAAAGATAAAGATATAGGTTCCCCTCACACTAGTCCTTCCAGACTCTAGGGAGCGGTACTCATCTCTGTTTCAAAGCCGAAGAGCCAGCGCTGTCCGAAGATGTCTCTGTGGTCATGTGGCCAGCATGACTGAACACGGAAGGCACATGAAACGCTGTTACCTTCCCACCAAAGGTGGTCCCTATTTTTCTACTGGCATTTTTTACATGCCTTTAAACTGCTAAGTTGGCAGAAGTTGGGACAAGTAATGGGAATGCACTCCGTTACGTGATGCTAGGGATTTGAACCGCCAAACTGGCGACCTTTCTGATTGACCAGTGTCTTAGCCACTTGAGCCATCGCGTTGAACTTGATATATTTACAAGCTAAAATAAATCTATGCAAGCAGCTAACAGCTGAATTCCCATGCAATATTAGGCTTGATTTTCATTTAATACATACAAGCCTGGTTGGGGAATTCTGGGAGTTGGAAGTCCCCCCAAGCGTTGAAATTGCCAAAGTTTGACACCTCTGATCAAAAAAATTATATTCTCGACACAGAAATAATATTAGAATGATACCAAGTGGCACATTTAGACTTCTGCTGAACGAATGCTAACAAAGGAGAACAACCTTGCAAGCAATTACACCTCAATTCTCCTTCCAAAGCTCTGGAGCTGCGGATCTTGTCCACATATTGGTTTATATTGAATTGCTAAGGAAACCCTGCTAATGAACGAGGCCAACGCCAGAAAAAAGCCTCTCGCCCAAACGTTTTAGCCCGTGTCTCGCTTAGCAACATGCACTGTGGGCCTCAATGATGGTCATAAGTCGAGGACTGTCTGTATTAATACACCCCTCCTCCATAAAAACCACCCCTCCCTCCCTGGTCGGCCAAGAGGGCCCCTGGCAGCTCCTTCCAGGCCGGCTGGAGATCCCGTCAGAGTCAAGGAAGCCCCGCCGGCCGCACTCACCGGGGCAGACCGGCGGGCACCGGGCCCCGCGACGCAGCAGCAGCAGCCGCAGCTGGCAAAAGGAGCGCCACCCCTTCCGCTGAGCGGCCAGAGCCGGCAGCATCCTCCTTCCGCGCTCGGGTTACGGGCGAAAGGAGAAGGAGGCCGGCGAGGAAATCGCCTCATGGGTGACTCTTCGCCCGGCCGGCTCTCCACAGACAAGGGGCCGCCATTTTGGGGAGCCGGAAACCGGATGTGGGGGGGGAGGAAAAGGAAACCCGTGCTGCTCTGTCTTCCTCTTCTCTATGGTCCGCCTTGCGGGGCGCTACAACGCCGATAGAGGGAGAAAGGCAAGCGTTTTTCCCCCTCCCCTACGTCATTTCCTGTTCAGGCGTAACCATTTTCCCCTGGGTTCATTTCTTCTCTTCGCGCCCCCCCATCTGAAATGGGACAGTCCATTTTAACCAGCACTCCCCTTGAGAGGGAAAACCAAGTTAATCTTGGTTAGTTTGCGTCCCTAGAACGAAGTAGGGCTGTGGACTGGACAGGGAAAGGGGGGNGCTAGAAAGCAGGAAATAAAGAACAGGACAGAGTAGGGGCGGGTAGGCGGGGCCAGCTGATTGTGGGAGCTAAACGGTGCGCTCAAACCGGTCCAAATCGGCTGTGTACCACCTCTGATATTAACTAGGCTAAGCTTAGGAAAGGAGGGGGAGGAGCCTGCTGATTCTGAAAGAGGTTTTTACTCTTCCTGAATCAAGCTCACATTAGGATTCAAGCAGCCTTCCTCCAACGTGCTGCTACCCGGATGACTTGAATGGTAGGTTGCAATTTCTCTGGATCGCAGCAGATTTAACACAATTAAACCTTCCACATTTCCCCTTTTAATATCTTCATCAACACAGCAAGGATCAATGGGAAAGGAGGCACAATTTGTTGTGTCACAGCATGAGCCGCGCCGTCTCTTTTAAGCGCGCCATGTTTTGAAAAAAAAAAGAGAAATACGAAAAGCGTTGTTTATGTCGTTTAGTCGAAATGTTTTGGCAATGCTTTTATTCCCTACTATTTTTAAGATTCTTGTCTAATCTGGTGATTGTTTAGATGGTAGGAAAAACAGCAGGGTAGATAAAAATCGATGATTTTATTAAAAAATGGGATTTTTTTTTATTTATTTAAATTGGATTTATTTTTATCAAACTTATTTTAATTAATAAAATGCTTTTGGAGTAAAGGTAGTTTTCTGTTTAAGGTACATGAATAATTTAGTTAATTCAGCATGAAATGGAGCTTCGTTATGTAGCATAAGGCTGTATATTCTGCAATATTTACATTTTTGATAAAACTTTTGCAATGAATCCAAGCTCTGCAAGCTGAGATAACATGCACTGCATTTGATGCATTCACACAATTTCGCAGTAACCGTGAGATAAATCATAAAACAAAGTTCAGGAATATTCCTTCACCCCATTGCTTTGCAAATCTAGGTACACTACAAACTGTATGATTGTTTGAAGAGAAATGCATCTGTACCACCAGGCTCTAAGTGGGAGGAGGAAGGGCAAGCAGTGAAAATGAAAGTGAAACCTTCTAAGCAGCCTATAAATATAATATTAAAGAGCACCTGTCATTTCATATCCATCATGGCGGCGCCTGTTAGCGGGATCCACTCACCTGCTGCCCGCCATATCCCTCACCTTGGTGCGTGACTGCGGCATCACCGTCTGTCCCGTTAAAGTGACTGGGACTGTCGGTGAGTCAACAGTGGGTCAGAGGAGGAGCCACTGTGGGAAAGAGATGACAGTTGCTCTTTAAAAATTATGATTGAAGAATAGCGCTCGGACAATGTTGGAAAAGTGACACCATGCCGACAGACTGCTTGATAATCCAAAAGATTTTTGATTGCGCAGAGATGGATGAACTCACATTGGAGTTAAGGGACAAGGAAGACCCAGAATAGTATGCAGTTTGGGAAAACTGGTATCAATGGATAAATAATAGGAACATGAAATGTATAGCTTAGAAATATAGATGTATAGATACAGGAATAATTAGGAATGTATAAAAATGCATTTGAACAACAAATGATTATGTTAGTACTGTCAAAAAGGATTGTAACTTATACAAAACTATTTTAAAAAGTATTTGTATTTTAAAGTTTATAATTTTCAATAAAGGTTTGATATTTTTTTTAATTATGATTGAAATCGAGTTGATTTAAATCAAGCCTTGATTTAGATCCAGCCTGGAAAACACACATTAAGCATTGCCCATTCCCCCTAAGCCACAAGTGAGGGGAAAAAATTAACCAACACCCTGGATTCTAAACTCTGGTTTTATTGCCTGAAGAAACCACAACTAAATGAGGGTCAAAACTGACAGGAGTTAGAACAGTTTACCAGTTAATGAGCAAATTGTGTGAACTCCACAGGAAAGCGTTAGAAATTAAAATCTCTACTTAAGATAACCTTTTCAAAGATGCTCTTACTTAGCTTCCACTTCCGATCTCAAAAAGACAGTGAAAGCTTCCGTGTCGTTGTGAGGGCTTCGCCGCTTGATTTTCCTAAGCTGGTCAAGATCACTGTTGAAGGAGACAGGGGGAAAAAAATAAAGAATCTTGAAAGAAGAAGAGCGAAGATTATAAAGACGATCCAAGCTCACCCTCTGGAAGGGGCACCCATTTTACAGGATCCCAGCTGTGGCAAGCAGGTTACTATTAAATAACAAACCTGTTATTTATATTTATAATTTTATTGTATGCTATCCTATAACTATTGTATTTGACCTGACTCTTGTTTTAAGATAAGATTTTATTGGCGATATGTGTTTGAACCTTGTGCTTTTGATATGGCCTATAGCTCTGATGGCGAACCTATGGGATGCGTGCCACAGGTGCCACGCGGAGCCATTTGTAAGGCCACGCGAGACGTTGCCCTGTCAGCTCCTTTCTTTTGAGGCCGTTTTCCTTGAAGCCTCCAGAGCGCGAAAAACCAGCCCGACAGGCAAACAGGAAGTTCGGGAATGGACTTCCGGTTTGCCCATAGGGCCAGTTTTTCCCACTCCGGAGGCTTCAGTGAAGCTCCTCCCACCTATGCGGGGGCCAAGGTTTTCGCCCACCCCAGGCTCCTAAAAAGTCAATAAAGCTATCATACTACTACCAACAAAAATGGACTGGAGCTTTGCAAAGTATTTTTTTGCTTGCAATCCTAAAATGAAAAGAGTGGTACCTCGGTACTCATCGTTAATTGGTCCTGGGAGGCACGACGAGGACCAAACTAATTTTTCCCCACAAGGAATAATAGGATGAGTCACAACGCAGCCGAAATCGCCAAGTTCCAGCTGGTGCATTGAGTAGCAATAGCATTTAAACCTATATACCGCTTCGCAATGCTTCTACAGCCCTCTCTAAGCGGTTTACAGAGTCGGCCTCTTGCCCCCAACAATTTGGGTCCTCATTTTATGGGTCCTCGGAAGGACGGAAAGCTGAGTCGACCTTGAGCCTGGTGAGATTTGAACTGCCAAATTGCAGGCAACCAGGATTCAGCAGAAGTAGCCTGCAGCCCTGCACTCTAACCACTGTGCCACCGTGGCTCTAAGTACCAAACAATGAGTACGGGGACAAAATGTTCGTGTGAAAATGTGTTGAGTACCAAATTTGATGAATTTCGAAACATCTGAGTACCAAGATGCCACAAAATTCGTTACTTATAAAGCCCTTCATGGTATTGGACCTGGGTACTTGAGAGACCGCCTGCTGCCAATTAC